GTAAAAGGATTGCCTTTGGTCTTAGAAGACACTATGGACTTTTAAACACTGTTGAGGCTATGAAAGTCTAAGGATCTTCTGAAGTTGAGTTAAATGCACTTTGCAGTTGGATTTAGGCATTAGACTCTGGGGCTTAGGGAGAGGAATATTATAGTTTGAGAAAGATATCCCTATATTCTTGGGAATATGAATAGTTGTTCTAGAGTTGTAGATACAGCATAGGTTTAAGAGATGAAGCCTTGCTCATGAAAATGTGTCACTGAAGGCATGCTTTTGGGTTTGGAAATCCATAGGTGGCTTCTAGTGTGTTCTCTTGGCTTCTGGTTTGTGGTTCTGGATATAAGCTCTCAGCTCGCTACTCCAGTTGCTGTGCCTGCCTACTGCCATGTATCTATACCATAATGGTGATAGGGTCTTAGTCCTCTGTAGCCATAAGCCCAAATAAATCCTTTTTATTACAAGTTCCTTTGCTATGGTGTTTTATCTTAGCAACAGAGCTGCAATAAAGGCACCACCCACATTGAGTTGTGCAACCCCATTAAAACTCATTAGTTCACCAAAAGAGAGTTTGGTGGTAGACTTACTTTAGATTATTTTTGGTTCCCTATTATTTGGTCATATTTCCTCAGGAATAATGTCAAACCACAACCACAGAAGGCATAAAGGCACTGACTCTTCCTGGGATCCAGGCAGTCTCAGGCTAAAACTCACACCAAAAGGCTACAACTTTCAAGCCATCCTTCCTTCCTCCAAGCCCTACTACTATCCAAAACTGCCAGTGACCCCTTTTTATTAAGACTTAATGTTTAAAGGAGGAGAAAAATCCTGGCCTTCTGGACAAAGTAACAAGTCTTCCAAGACACAGTCCAATATGACCACAAAACTTAGCTTTCCTGTTTTCCCTATTACATTTGATAACAATAGTTTCTCTCAATGTCCCTGTGCCCTGTTCCCATGCTTCCTTACAGAGTCATGTACAATGACTTAGGAATCAAGTCTGAATCTCTTCCTTTGCAAAACCTATAAAAAAGCATGTTCCTCCTTAAGGTCTTCTAGCTGACTTCCTGAGGATAGCCCATATCTCTTGTCTGGCCTCTCTGCTGAGAAGCTGGATAACACTGCCAGACTCCTGGATTTGTTCCCATCACTCTTCCTTACACACTGGTTCAATTTGTAGACTCAAATTCTATCAATGTTCAACCCATACCTAAGCCATTTCCCTTGCCAAGCATTTTTTTTGTTCAGGAACCAACATCAAATTTCAAACCAGGCACTTCACACACCACATTTAGGGTCCTGCAGTGCTGTGTACACTCTTATTCCTGACATAACAGGTTCAACCAGAATTTTCCAAATACTTCCAGCCCACCCCCATCTTGTCCTAGATGCCCCTTTCATTAATGACACAGCTTAAATGTCACCCTCACTGCCTCCTAGAGAGATTTAGACATTTTTGTCTAGATTCTGGTAGCATTTTTCCCTCCACTCACACACACCTCATGTTAGGCACTTGGGAATTACCTGAGGCTATACCTGTTTTCTCAGAATCTGTGCTAACACAGAATCTCTGGGTTCATCTCAGACAAGAGCTGTTTTGTCTTGTTTGCACAAATGTGGTTCCCTGGCCACAGTAACAGCTTAGGGAATGCTGGGTCCATGAACAACTGCTCTCTTATTTATAGAGAGATACACCCAGTTCTTACCCTGAAGAAGTCACAGGAAACAAAACACATGGAGGTGAGGCAAGAGATCAAGTTTCCATGAAGCCTGCTGGAGTTATTAAGCATTACTTACTTAGATTCTCATCTGTGCTGTCATTGCCTAGTGAGTCCTTAGTTTGCCTAACACCTACAAGCAGTTTTAAGTCATGAGTGAGGGTTTCCTGAATGTGAACTTTCCTTCCTTCCTCCTAAGTTCTGGTAAGGAGTGAAACTACAGTTTAATTAAGGTGACCCATCCTCACAGTACTTGGCTGTGGAAGTATTGATTGAGTCTACAAATTGAACCAGTGTGCAATCTATGATTGCAGTACATACGAGCTTCCTCTTGGTTCACACAGATATCCAGCTGTAGAAAGTAGCTAAAAGTAGAGGGCACACTGCAGCATAGTCTCCCAATGTTTGAAGAGGGACTGATGTGTCATGCGATAGTGGAGTGCAAAGTTTTGATCAATGTGTTACAGGTATGAAAACTGAATGATTGAGTCAGATGTAGACAAGAATGAAAGGTCATTGATTTATACAGGTGCTGGCCATTCACTTCCTTCTCACAAATCCTTCAACAATTATTGTCCCAACAACAGCTGGACAGAATATATTCATGTAGTAACCAGTAGAGATCATTATGATTTGACGTTTCTTTGATCAAAATTGAGGGGAAATAACATCAAATCACTTGCCAAACACCTATTTTTCAGGATTGAAAGAAAATAAGGACTAGATAATGCTAAGGAAAAAAATTGCCCTGAATCCTGTGTTGGCAGAAAAGCTGAATACATGATCCCCAGGACAGGAAATGTAAATTCCATTCAGTTATTCATGGAAGCAAGTGTTTCCAAAGATATGATGTAGGGGCTGCTTCCTGCATCTTCAATTGGATGAAAAGATGGCAGTAGAGAGCAAGAGGCATCCTCTAACATAGCCCAGAGGTGAGTGTTTTAAGGGGGGCTTCTGTCAGTATTGAAGAAGATTTTCCTGCATCTGTGCTCAAATGTGTTCTATTGTGGGTATGAAGATCCAGGGGCACAGTTTTCTGCTTAGTATGTTTGTGATTGTTTCAGAGTTTCCTGCACTGACATAGGTTAAATTTCAAATGATGCAGAACAATTCTCCAGTGACTAACAGTTTGCTTCTGGCAGAGAAGCTGAACATACAACAAATGAAACAATTTTATATAGTTAGTGTGGTCCGTGGAGAAATCAAAAAGTATAGGGCATTGTTGGTGTGGTGGTAGAGGGACACTAGGTGCTTTGTATGGTCATGAAACCACATTCTTAGGAGTTGTTAAGCTCCAACTTGAATATTGGAAGGCAAGAATCCTTATTAAGTTCTGGAAGGAAATATTAGTCAAGACAAGATGAATTATAGGACATTCTTGAGGAAAAAAGCTTATGCAAAGAGCAGGAAGGAAGTTTAAGAATCTGGGATGAAACAGTATTGTCACAGTTGTACAAGGGCTCTTTTCTATGTCTTGCTTCTAGAGAAAAAAAAAAAAAAAAACATTTGTACATGAAAACCCCAAAGTGGGGAAATATCCAAAGTCTACTGGGATTAAACTAGTGTGGGACACAGAATGAAATACGCTAACTCAGGGTAGACTTGGGCATGCTTTCAGACAAGGTGGACACTGAGTGGGCCCACATAGACTTATGGAAGTGAGTATATTAATCAAAGTTCAGCATGTCAGGTATATGGAACAGAAGGAGCCTGGGCACTTGCAAGAGTCAAAAGATATCCAAGAATGGGTTGGAGAGCTTCAGCGAACATAAACTAACACTGAATAATCTGGTTATAGCCATATTTTCCAGACTTCACAAAATGGGTTTAGAAATACATTTTATCCTCTCTCCCCTACATCACTATTTGTGGACTGTGAGAGTGGGAGCCAAGCTCTAAGGTCTATGGTGTGCTGAGGGCCTGAGTCCTTTCAGAGTGAAGGTGAGAGCTTGAGGATAGCCAGAGAAAGTCCCACTCCAGATAAAGCCACCAAATAATGGAACTGCATGTTTGGTAAGCCTGCCACATACCTGGGACTCCCTTCTATGAATAGCCCATTTAGCCTTTATGTCTGCAGGGAACTAGATTTTGAGTTTCCTAGATTGGAGAGTCATCTGAAGTTAAGGTGAGGGTTTAGGCTGGACTGCAAAACTTCTGTTCTACATGGAGGGACACTAATTAATGTCACTGATCCCCTGTGGTAAGTGTGACATCAAATTGTGACCCATAGTGTGCCTAAGCTCCCATCTCCTATTTCCACCCCAGTATTCTGTGAATAATAGATACCTTCCAAGATTCCTAAAGTGGAGAGTGACTAGTGAGGGTGGGTTGTAAAAAGTTCTCCATCAAAGGGACTGAGTAACCAGAAGAAACACTCACTTGATGTTTGTTTATGAATCTTCCTTGGAAAATTTAGGAAAGTTTTAACAATTTTTGAGTAACCCTAATTTTGAGGGATCCCTCGGTGTTAACTTCAGGAATTAGCCCCTCCTCACCATTCCACACCCACATATAAGATCTTGGGATATGAGGGATTATTTTGTGATTTTCTTAGACTAGAGACAGCCATTCCCTATGGTATTTTCAGAGTGCAAGAGAGAGTTCAAGGTGGACTACAGTGGGCCTTTGAGAACAGGAGGGCCCCACAAAATTCAGTGTCATCCCCAGGGTCAGCCTAGATTTAGTTGGAATAAATGTAGAAAAATGAGACTCTCCTATTTTGTTTGCTCTGTCCTCGGAATAAGCACTGTTTTCAGTCCTGGAGGGCTAGAGAGGTGCCTGGCTTGCAAAGTAAAAGTAGGACTGAGAGTGGAATGTGGAAACTCTACTCTGGATAGCCAGACAACAGATAGTATCATTATTCCAGGTTGATGTGCACTACTGTAAACTGGACTGACTTGTTGAGAGTATCCCTTTCATCTCCCTCAGGGGGGTGGAGAGATTCTGCTCATCTGAGCCATTTCAGTTTCCCAGAGGGAAGAGGACAACTGATTTTTTGAGTCCAGATAGAAGCTGACTGTGGATAACAGAAACCCATTCTAGATGGAGAGGGTTGAATAATCAAGCTACATTGCATTGTTTTGAGGGTCTTACATAAAATCGAAGCAGTATTGTAGCAATAAGCATGCACGCAAACTTCCTCATCTGCATCCGGGGACTTGGATGACTCAGCGCCCTTTTGTGAGATTGCCAGAGGCTAGAAGATTCCTAAGTGCTGATTTGTGGAAATGATCCCCTCCCCACTGTTTCACATCCGGGTCCTGGTAGTTTAGAGACTCCGAGCCATTTTGCAAGGCTTCTGGAAGGGTGAAGTACACTCGCCGCCGCCGTCTGCATCTGGCGACTTAGCCAATTCAGAGCCAGCACACCAGGTTTTCTCTGTCGAGAAACTTGGGGAACTCACTGCCTTTTTTGTGAGGGTTCTGGAAGAGGTAAGTATTTAGCGCCTTCTTCATCTGGGGACTTAGGCAATTCAGAGCTAGCATACCAGGTTTTCTGCACTGAGGAACCTGGGGGGACTCAAAGCCCTTTTGTGAGGGTTCTGGAAGAGGTAAGTACTCTTAGCACATTCTGCATCTGGGGACTAAGGCAATTCAGAGACAGGTTTTCTGCATCCAGGGACTTGGGAGACTCACAGCCCTTTTATGAGGGTTCTGGAAAAGGTTAAGTACACTTAGTGCCTTCTGAATCTGAGGACTTAAGCGACTCAGTCACTTTGTGAGTATCCTGGAAGCAGGGAGTCCTTCACGCTTTCTACATCCAGGGACTTCAGAGGATCAAGCCATTTTGTGAGGTTCCTAAAGGCGGAGTTCCTGTCAGCACTATCCACATCCGGGTACTTAGGAGGCTCAGCACCATTTGTGAGGTTTCTGGAAGGTGGAACTCTAGTCAACGCTTTCTTCTTCCAGGTACTTCAAAGGCTCGGAGCCATTTTGTGAGGTTCTTGAAAGGGAGCCGGTCTTGCTGTTCTTTTGGAGCCCAGGTGAGAACTGAGGGTGGGCTCAAAGTCCTCTTTCAATATTAAAAGACCCCAAATAATGCAGTCAGACCCCTAGTGTTAGTATGGCTCCAAGTGAGGCCTTTTTGTAGGTATAAGACCATCCTTGGGAATTTCACGGCCAAGTTTTCAGGGTTATGAGGAAAAAGTCAGCTCTTGTCCAGGATTAAAGTCTGACTGGACAGTGGACTTAGAAAACTCCAATTCCGATAGAGGGACCCACAATATTATAGCTGTACCTCTGTGATGAACAGTGTACCAAATGGGGGTCCTCTTTAGTAGTTATAAACCCTTTGCTTATGTGCTCACTGGAGACAAATAGAGAGAGATTCTTCGAGGTCTCTTTAGATAATGACTTCACTTTCACCTTCCGTGTGCACATTGTGGGGGGCAGGGGGATCTAGATCAGTGGTTCCGTTTTGTAACCCCTTTGGAAATCAAAAGACCCTTTCACCGATGTCACCAAAAATCATGTGAAACCACAGATACTAATGTTACAGTTCCTAACATTGGTGAAATTTCAGTTATGGAGTAGCAACAAAAGTAATTTTATGGTTGGGGGTCATCGTAAAAGAGAAACTGTATTAAAACTATATTAAAGGGTTGTGGCATTAGGAAGGTTGAGAATCAAGAGACTAGAACAAACTTAAGCATTAATTTGTCTTCTTGGGGAACTAGTTTCTTCCTCACACTCTCCAGTGAGTTAGTGTACAGGAGACTATAGAAAGAGGAGGTGCCCAGGCATCTGTCCATCAAGATGAGTGCAGGGAGTAGTTTGAGAAACCTGTCTCCAGATAGATAGGCTAAGATAAAAAGCTACATTGCATGCTTTTTACCATACTGTTACAAACTAAGGCTTATGTGTGGGAATGAGCCCCTCCCCTATCTTCAGTTACTGCCTCCTGGGATTTTGGGGGACTTAGAGCCATGTGCCAAGTTCAGGGGATGCCTTTCAACGGGTCCCTGCTCCACCCTACACACATGCATATGAGGTTTCTTGTGGGGAGATAGCTAAATTATCAGTCCAGGTGAAAGCAGAAACTGCACTGCAGAGACACTTTCTAGGTAGAGATTTCCAGTTAATACATCCTGTCACCGAGTGGGACCCAAATGCTGAAAAGAGATCCTTGTCCTTTAGATCATAGGTGGGCCTCCATTCTTTCCTAATTACTGGCAGGAAGAGTAATAAGATTCAAGTACCCTCCCCCCCCCTTTTTTTTTTACCCTGTAGGATGAGGGCAGAGTACTTCTGAGGAGTAAGGCCTTAGTCTGGAGAGGTACAGTATCAGGGTCCTAAAGGAGGAACAAAGATACACCTGATATTATAGAGGAAACAATTGTATATGCTCTCCCCTGTAAACTGTCAGCCCATAATATTTCTGTGGAAGACTGGAGACCAAAAATGTCATCTCTAACTTCCTGTTCAGGGATTTAAGTGGAGATCAGGTCCTAGGCCTGGATAACGGATCCAAGGGTCAGCAGGGGCCATATGAGGAAAATTTGGAAAATCTCCAGAATCCACAAGACAAAAGAGGAAACCTCTTCATTCTACTTCCTATATTGATAAATCCCTAGGGATCTCAAGATGGACTTTGTCCTCACTTCTTTTTCCTCCTCAGGAAGGTGAGCCCATACATTGTGTGGGATCACCAAAGCAGCAGTGGAACCACCTGAGATCACCAGAGGGAGGTGTCCTGTATCTGTCAGCAATCCAGGTAAGAAAAATGATGAATGTTAGAAATATTCTGAAGAGAAGCCTCTCCACCAACACAAATAATTCCAATCAGACCAATTTAGGCTGAATAAAAGATGCCCGCATTTACTGCAGCACTCCAGTAGTAGCATGGTGAGGGGAAGAGAAAAGGGGAGGGAACCACAAATACCTGAAGACCACGTGTTTCCTTTTCCAGCAGCAGCCTAAATAGCCTGTGGGAGTGGTCCTGACCCTCCCTGGGGAGGCCTTAGAGCTTGGGCTTTTCCGGAGGTGGAGTCCTCTGGATAAAGGCAACTCCCAGGCCAGGGGCTAGGGTGATGTTTTGAACCAAATATTCCAGGGGAAGGGGCTAAAGATGGATGCCAGGGACTGGGCTGACACTTCCAACCAGTGAGGACTAAAGGGGATAAGAAACCATACATCTACTAACAAGGAAATGCAGTCTGTATGGCTCAGTTCCTATTCCTGGAGGGCCCTGAATGGGTGGCTAGGGTTGAGGGTTTACTTTTAGTTGCATACCTTTTGGTGAGAGTTCTCTGGGAGAAGATGCACTTGATACTAGGATTAAAGTCAGTTCAGAGGAGGTAGCTAGATATGGAGATGTGAGCTGGTGACACATCTCATCCAATCCTATGTGGGATCTGCCATGATGACCTCATGACCTGGGCTCATCTCTTCTGAGATATGGGTTCCCTAAGTCCACCTGAAGTTCGTCTCACCTATTCTTTTTTTTTTTTTTATTGAGAATAAGAAAAAAAAAGTTTCCGCCTCCTCCCAGCCTCCCATTTCCCTCCCCCTCCCCCCACTCTTCTCCCCTTCCTCCCACTCCTCTCCCCCTCCCCCCACTCCTCTCCC